AGCAGCAATAGCACGCGTATCCCTACCTTTCAATTTCCGTCCGCCAATTCCTCGGTGGCTTCTATGGGGGACGAGGAGGACGAGGGCGAGAGGGGGGAAGGGGACCGGGGTGCGGGCCAGGAATCAGGCGCGGGGATAGGAGGAATGAAGCGGGAGGGACACTTTATGTGCAGGACGGAGGGTGAGGGGTCGGGGAGGAGGACCTCTGTGGGAAAGATGGTGTTCTCTGCGTCGGCTGGGGGCAAGCCACCCTCCGCCCGTGTCCGGGCTCGGAACAACCAGCTTCATGCGCACGTGGCGACCGGAGGGGCTCAAGATTCGGCAGGGGACAACAGGTTGGCCGTGCAAGACGGGAACAACCATGGACCTGGGGGAGGAGGGGCCGGTGTGAGGGAGGGGCGATGGACGCAGGAGGAGCATGCGGCATTTTTAGAGGGCTTGATGCAGTACGGAAAGAGCTGGAAGGAGATACAAGGGATGGTTCAGACCAGGACATCGGATCAAATTCGAACACATGCACAAAAATACTTTATTAAGGTAGGCAAGCAGCACCAGCACCCGGCTTTGTCGACCGAGCAAGCAGGACGGGTCCAGGGATCGTCTATTGCCGTGTGACGAGAGGCGAACGGGAGCTACAGGAAGGAATAGAGTTCTAATCGCTGTGGTTTTATGTGGTAAATCGTCATTCTTTTTTTAATAGAGGGTTTATCAGAGCTTCTTTTCAGCCACCAGAGCCAGCAGCAAGAAATTGAGGAGCTCAAAAACCAATAGGGGGGAGGAAAAAAAGAAGAATTCAGCCAGCCGAAGTAAATATTACAAGCCGCAATAGCAGAAAAGAGGAATTGTTTGAACAGCCATGGAAGGGAGCCATACCCACGCCACTGGGATGAGCAACGAGGAGCGGGGAAATGCCTAAGGGGGTTTCCGGAGGATGTGTGTGGAATGGCGGTCCCGTGTTCATTTAAATTTAAATTTTGGCGGGAATAAAGGTAGGGTGGAGTGTGTTTCCCTTTGAAGTCAAACTTGTTTATCTCGCATGTCCGGCACAACACCATAAGAAGATTGCGGGAGGAGAGGAAAAATCTGAGCACAGGAGACAGAAAGGATTGTAGGGGTGGATGTGGTGGGAGCAGGAAAGCAACATACATGTCCTGTAAAGCCCAGGGAAAATCGATGGTGGCAGGGCCGATCGAGGGACGGGGCGGATCGAGGGACGGGGCGGGGGCTACGAAGAGATGCAATTGATGGAAAGCCTTCTGTCTTGCGAACATTCATCACGATGGGATGACATGGAACATGACGGTGACGCAACCAAAAACCTGATGCCTCCTTCCTGTGATCTACGTGTACCTGGAATGGCGCGCGTGTATATGCAAAACGGAAAGCATGTGTGGGATGAGAGAGACACGGGGCGAGCAGGTCGAGAGGGGTACAGGATGTGCGCATGCGTGTTGCTCCTATCAGAGCGAGCGATCTGACAGGGAGGATTGACGGGAAATTCGGAGTGGGAGGAGAGCGGGCCCCTTTGGCCCTTGCTCAGAGTAAGTGAAGCAGGGCAAGGAGATGACAACAGGCGAGAAAAACGAGAAAAAAAACCTGGGTAATGTGGTAGGACACGGGTGCTGAATTTATACGATAGTATTGCCAGCCTTATAAATGCGACGGGGAATGAAGGGGGATCGATTGTTGGGCTGATATCACGGGAGCTCAGGCTCGATGCAAGGGAAAGCTTCGGAATGAGGGGATGAGCGCCTGGCGCGAGCCTTTCGTGGGAGACCTTCCCTGTATGGAAGCTTTGCTCGGCCGTGTACATGACGCCTGGGACATTGCGCCACCCACAGCTTTGATTTTCGTGCGATCAGAAGAATAACATCAAGTAATTTGTGACAGCGCAGGGAGAATATAGCATGGCATGGTTATCTTCCTTTGTCGGGCACGAAGAAAAGTCCCGCGGGCAGCAGCCTGACGGTTGACAAGTCCTCTCTGCATGAAATGTCAAGGGGCTTCCTCCTTGCGTCAAAACGCTTGGGCCGGTATGTCCCGTCGACGGCGTCTTTTTCTTCGCTGTCTCTGATCACCCTTTCGCCCCTCTATATGCTCAGCCTTTACACGATGCGCACTATGCTTCATTTGGGACGGGCTTCTTGAAACACCGCCTTGAGAAGCTCCTTGTCCATACCCTCCCCACGCCTTCGTTTCTTCCCTCCGCTTTCCAGCCCCTCCCCTCGTAAGCCCTTCTGCTCCCTCCCGCGCGGCCACTCCTCGCTCCCCTCCATCGCGTAAGGGGGCCACTTGTCGGAAGCGGCGCAGCACGCGAAGGTCTTTCCTTGTTTCCCTCCCTTCTCCGACTTCTCCGACTTCGTCGTCCCGGCGCCGTCCCTCCTTTCCCTCCTTCCGTCTCCTCTCCTCCATACCCTCCAGCTCCTTCTTCTTCTCCACCAACCCCACAAACGCAGCATTCTCCTTCTTGGCCTGGAGCATCTCCATCCTCAGCTTCTGCTCGCGAACGCGCCGCTCATAGGCCAATTTTTCCGTTAAGTGGCTCCATTTGAAGCCTCTCAAGTACTTCATCACCCACATGTCGTCGTGGTAGAAATTGTGCTTTTTCCCGCCCACCAAGGATCCGTTCAATGCCCCGGCAACTTCTTTTGCCATCCTTTTATCCTGAAACTCCACCCATCCTTCCACATATTTTTTCTTCTTATTCCCTCCGCCCTTGATGCGCCGTTTCCGTATGGTGACATCCTCTTCCACCATGTACAGCCGTGTGACTGGAGCCATCTTTTCCAGAAGATGTTTTACCTTCGCCGGCTTCATGTAAGGAGGAAGAGAAGACAAATATACGACCCCTCTACGTGCTATTTCGTCGCGGTACTGCCTCGCCTCTCTCTTCAGGCGCTCTGTCTTGTCATGTTTTGGGCCAGCAGGCCCTGCCAAAGAAGAGGAGGACGGCCGCTCCGTCGTGATGGGCATATTGTTGTTGATTACCTCAACATTGTCAGGGCCGTGGATTCCTTCGTCTCCCCCACCTTTTCCTGGCTTGTCATGCCTGAGCTTCGCCTTCTTTACCATCCAAGATACTGCCCCCAAGCGCAAATTAATAGCTTTACGACCTGCTCTTTCCGTGCCAGCGTCGAAGATCTGCGTGGTTGAGTGATTTTTTTCCTTGATCTTTTGGTCGATACATGAATATGGTTAGGAGATCGTGAAATTCGCACGGTTTTTTATTTGGTTGTGGCAGTTCCTCTGATCCCCGGCTGGCGGGCCTCACCAACAAGAAAAAGGAGCACAATTGATCGTACAAGACAAATTCTTGACAACACCTGGCGAATGAAGGTCATACATGTCAATGCTGGTCTTTACATCTCAAACACGCTCAGGTACTCAACAAATAATTCTGTCAATTTGTCCAGAGGGCTGTAGGATGCCAGCATCGTTTCGGGCTATCAAGAGTCTTAGCGCTGTGAGGTACTTCGAGTACGTTCCCATCGAATTTAGTACGTGCCATCTTCATTCACTCAATCAAAACACACCACGCGTCATCAACATTGGAATTCTACAGGCAAACACGTACTGAAAGCATTGGGACAGCCGTTTGTACTTTTTTTCTTTCCGTCCAGCGAATGACAGTGTTTTGAACATGAGCTTATCTTCCTCCTCATGCACTCTCATATCAAGTTGTTTCAACAAAGCTACATTCAGTAGCTTTCCGTCCCCAATCATTTTTCTCAACATCTATATACAGATGGTTTTGCTAGAGCTAGATTCCTAATGTAACATTACCAGCCTCCTCTGCGATATACCTATTTCATGAAACCCAATTTGGACATGACCTTCGCCTCCCACGACACAGGTGCCGAGAATACTTCTCCCGGTTTCGCTTTTTCGAGGCACGCCGCAAGCCTGGTTCCCTGGTCTATTGCTCTCTTTGCGTCCAGCTCTGCTGCCATCTCTGCACCCCCAATTCTAAACACCCCCAATCCGGCTGCCGACAGGGGGGCTTGCAACTCCCGCAAGGGCTCTTGACCCGCGCACGTGACGATGGTGTCTACGTTCAGCACCTTGGTCTCTCCAGAGCTCTTGAGCTTAAGGTGGAGGCCCTCATCATCTATCTTCAGATACTCCACGCCCGTGACCATGTGCACGCCTCCTTTCTTCAAGGATACGCGGTGGATCCACCCAGTTGTTTTCCCCAGCCCGCCCCCCATTTTGCCTTTCTTCCGTTGCAGGAGGTAGATCTCTCGAAAGGCCGGGTCATGGGCCTCCTTTTCAAGCAGCCCGCCCCTTTCCTTGTTGTCCCCATCGATTCTCCATTCCTTCAAAAACTTGCCCACATTTACGCTGGCCGGGGGGAGGCTGGGGTCATGCAGCAAATATTCCGCCACGTCAAACCCAATGCCACCGGCGCCTATAATGGCCACGCGCTTCCCCACCTCCTTTCTGCCCCTCAACACGTCCACGTACGAAAGAACCTTGGGATGTTCACATCCGGGTATTTTGACCGGGCGGGGGAGGACCCCCGTGGCCATCACGACCCGGTCGAACCCCTCGGCCGCCAAGTCCTCCGCGGTAGCAGGCGAGTTCAGACGCACATCGACTTGAAGAAGCTTCAGTCGATGGGAAAAGTAACGTATCGTCTCGTGAAATTCCTCCTTGCCGGGGATGACTTTCGCCATATTGAACTGCCCGCCGATCTCATCTGCTTTCTCAAACAGCGTCACCGCGTGGCCCCTCTCCGCCGCCGCCGTCGCGCAGGCCAATCCTGCCGGCCCCGCCCCCACCACAGCCACCCTCATCTTACTCCCAGGAGATACGGGAAGTAGGTGCAGTTCCGTCTCGTACCCCGCCCGAGGGTTGACCAGACAGCTGGCACGCTGTCCCTTGAACGTGTGGTCAAGGCAAGCCTGGTTGCAGGCAATGCACGTGTTGATTTCCTCCACGCGCCCCTCTGCGGCTTTACTCAAGATGGCGGGGTCCGCCAAAAAGGGTCGTGCCATGGAGACCAGGTCGGCGTTGCCGTCGGCCAGTACCCTCTCGGCCGTGGCGGGCATATTGATCCGGTTCGTGGTGCAGAGAGGAACCCCCAACACCCCCGTTTCCTTCAATTTCTTCGTCACCCAGGCATACCCTGCGCGCGGGACGCAGGTGGCAATGGTGGGGATCCGCGCCTCGTGCCAGCCGATCCCTGTATTGATGATCGTCGCACCGGCGGCCTCCAGGGCTTGGGCCAAGGTCACCACTTCCTCCCACGCCGAGCCCGCCGGGATCAGGTCCAGCATGCTCAGGCGGAAAATGATGATGAAATCTTCTCCCACGGCCGCTCGGACGGCCTTGACAATCTCCACGGGGAAGCGCATTCTGTTTTCGTAGGGGCCTCCCCAGGCACCTGTCCTCTTGTTGGTGTGCTCCACCAAAAACTGATTGATCAGGTAGCCCTCGGAGCCCATGATCTCCACGCCGTCGTAACCGGCTTCCCGGGCCCGGCTGGCACAGTGCGCGTAGTCCTGAATGGTCCGCTCGACCTCCGCCTCGGTCAGAGCCCGTGGGGAATACATGCCGATCGGCGCTTTAATGGCGCTCGGCCCCACCAAGAAGGGGTGATAAGCATAGCGGCCGGCGTGTAAGATTTGCATGGCAATCTTCGCTTCAGGATGGGCGTTATGCACGGCACTGGTCACGTCCCGGTGGGCTCGTACCTCCAAAGGGTTTGTCAGCTTGGCTGCGAAAGGAGAGAGCTTTCCTTGACGGTTCGGGGCAATGCCGCCCGTAACTATCAGTCCGACTTGGTGCTTTGCACGTTCAGCATAGAAAGCGCCCAGTTTGTGCAGCCCTCCCCCTATAACGCCGCCATCTTCCAGACCCACGTGCATGGATCCTGACGTGTTGCAAGGTAGTATCACAAATAAGTTGGTGAGGATGTAAGTCCATGTGCAGGTAAAGGAGATGAACGGAGGGAGCACAGACCGCAGATATGAAAGGGACCAGTTTTAAAGCGAAGAAACGTGAGGACAACCACCAAAGATGGAGAATGACAATTGTGTCTGGGTATCGATTGATGATTTCAAGAGAAATCGAATATGGATTTGATCAGGCGTCGAGGGGGGAGGGGAAAGGTGTGGAAAGGGATCGATTGTCTCGGCCGAAGCAAAATAAGATACACTTACCCATGACAATACGATTACGAAGTGTGGCCCCAGACTTGAGCTTTAAAGGCTGAAAAACGTGGGCAAATTGCTGCGCCATGATCGGGTGAAATGACGGCGTACTCCTTCGTTCCGGACGTCAAGGTCGCGGGAGCCACTTATTCGCTTGCCCTGCACTTGTAAAGAGACGTGCCTGTCGTACTGGAACAAAAGAACAAAAGAAAGCATTTCAATATGGTATAGCTACATTGGAGCGTGAATTCCTGCGAAGAAGCGCCTTTAGTCAGCAAGTTGGACTTGCTGCCACTGCGAATGCTTCAACTCACAACAGGTAACGGCCTGCGTCTTTCTATCGACCATCAACATGACAAAAAACCATCTCAGGTCTTAATAATTCTTACCATTTCCACGCGACACACATGACAGTACATATCATTGGCTACGACCATCATTCTCTGGGTTACAAAATTGGCATCATGGGATTTTTATTTTCCCAGCGCCGGCGCTATGTGCTACTCGCAGCCGGGTTGCTCACTTTTCTGGCTAGTGCTTACGTCGCGATGAAAAAAAACAGCAAAAAGAAAAAGTATTTAGAATATTGCGCCTTGAAGCTACGCCCGCAAGAGTCAGAGAAGGAAGAGGAACCGCAATCACTCTGCCATGAAGAAATCAAGAGGGATTTGGCGTGTCAAGGCCTGACTGCTGTACCCGCAGAGGTATTCCAAATGCGCAGCCTTCGGATCCTCAATCTGATGGGCAACTCCTTGACATTCCTCCCATCTGAGATCGGTCAGCTCTCACAGCTAGAAATATTGGGCCTAAAAGACAATCGACTCACAGCCTTGCCAGCCTCCATCGGCGACCTGACGGGCCTTGTGGCGCTATACGTCACGAACAACGGACTCACAAATTTGCCTCCCAGCATCGGTAGACTCGTGAATCTCCGCAAGTTTCAAGCATCGTTCAATGATTTGCAAGCCTTGCCGGAGGAAATGGGGAACATGCGCTCTTTGGAACTCTTTCGTGCCGCTGGGAATCCGAAGTTGCTCTCTATCCCTGTCTCCCTCGCTCGAGCACCGTCCCTCACATGGCTCTCACTGGGCGGCTCTAAATTCTGCGACGCGTTTTCCCGCAACACTTTAGGCCCTGCAGAAAAGGATGGAGCACAGTGGTGGGCCATGGAAGGTCATCGCGGCGGCAGAGGTGCTTGCGCAAGAGGGAGGAGCATCGATCATGACACAAGCAATACCACGACTGAGTGTACCGGCGGCCGCTACATCGAGGTTCCCCCCTCGATACCGCGAAAAACTTTGCAACTTGAGCGAAAACTGGGTGATGGAGCGTCGGGAGAAGTGTTCTTGTCGGAGTGGGAGACCGGTACCGCCGCCGCTCTTTCCGCTTCCTCCGCGTCCTGGAAAAGGAGGCTTACCCCTCAAAAAAAGAAGAAAGCCAAGGAGCAGGTGGCCGTGAAGATCTTCCGTCATGACGTCTCGCCGGATGGGCGGGCGATCGATGAATTGGAAGTCCTGTGCCTTCTGGAGCACCCAAACTTAAGCAAAGCGCGGGCTCTAGTGGTGGAAGACGAAGGGGAGGCTGGGCGGGGGGGGCTAAGGAGCGGCACGGAGGGATTGCGCCCCATCGGGGTTGTTATGGACCTTGTGCCCGGTCAGGCCATGGCTGCCAAACCGGATCACACCAGCATGCTCCGGTGTCGATGGGAGGAAGGACGGCTGTACTCCCATGCGGTAGTTCTTCGCATAGCCCACAATCTTGCCGCAGCTCTGATGCATCTCCACGCCAAGGGGATCTTTCACGGTGACGTGTACGCGCATAATTGTGTGGTGGATGAGGAGGGTAATACTACCCTATTGGATTACGGCGCTGCCTTTTTGTACAGCGTGGGGGAGGGAGGCGGCAGAGAGGAGGGCATGGAGGGTCTAGATTTGGAAAAGCTGGAGGTGCGAGCCTTTGGGCTGCTTCTAGCGGATTTGCTTCCTCGGCTGGATGCACAAGAGGGCGTACAGAGAGTAAGCTTCCCACAGAAGGAGGAGAAAAGGCGAAGGGCGTCGTCCCCCTTCGGTTCCCTCGGTCGTTCCTCTTCGTCGACCAGCCCCACCGCCCCACCGTCTGTCTCGTCCTCAGCCGCACTAGAATTCATGCAAGACCTGGTTGAGACATGTCTCTGGGACCAAGTGGACGCTCGCCCCACTTTTGCCTCTTTGTATGCTCGTTTGTCTTCCTTTGCGGCCATGGCGTGACCCCAACAGCGGTGGCGGGTTTCCGAGGTCGGGGATTGACCGGATGGTCGCTATGTTAATATCAACGGAGAGGAATAGTTTCGCGTGCATAGAAAGTGTTACGGTCGTGGGCGCGACTGCCGTAGGCTCTGCCATTGTTACTTTGTGTTATCTCCTAGCGCGATCTCAGGGGAATACCATGTTTTGGAACCATTTCCTCAGACGAGATGCATTCCCGGCTTTTTTACATTTTATTAGTCACCCCTGCGCCTTATGTACTGTACCGGGAACATACATCTCGCTCGATCGAAAGGGAGGCATGTTCTGTCATGGCAGCATTGGCTGGTCCTTCTCGACGGCTCGCCCCTTGGCCACCCCTCGTTCATCCGAACTTTCTCTATCTAACAGTCCAGTCCCCCCCCCACCCCCCCCATGACATGCCTTCTGGAGGTATCCGTGGATACGTGGCATCAACGTTTGTTTGATGCCCGATGTTTTCATAAGTGCTCTTTCGCTAATACATACTATCTGCACGTTTATGACCCGGTCGCGATCATGTAGGCATTCTCCCATACTTTGTCATCTCGCCCATGCTGTCCTCCACCCTAACGTCTTCACGATCTTCGCCTTTTTATTCATACTCATGCACCTAAAATCTCCTGTGACGCTCCTGTGGGGCACGTCCCTATTTGCTATGTCAAGGTTGTTTGCTGGATGACCCCCATGCTCCGCTCTGGAGGCAATAGTTTGTGGATCTTGAAGGTATTCGATACCTTATCCCGCACGTGCCCAAGGTCCTGGGGTGTGATGAAGATGAATTGACGATGCTGCATGTCCTCACGCGTGGCGGTCTTCACCAGCAAATCCAGCGCCGTTTTTCTGGCGACGGCATCCATAAAGATGTCAAATTCATCCATGATCCGAAAGGGTGATTCGATTGCGTCGCCCAAGGCTATCAAGAAGGCGAGCGTCGTGAAGGAGCGCTCCCCCCCAGACAATTCTTTGACGTTCTTGCTCACCGATGACTCGTCCATCGCATTCGTTCTCATCTCCATTTCCAGCACCCGATTTTTGAAATCGAGCTTTCCTGCGCTACCTTTATGCTGCAGCACGGTATCAAAGGCTATGGTGGCCCGACGGACGATGTACTTGCGGAAACTCCGTAGATTCCTCTTCCGTTTATCCAGCCCTTGCTCCAAACGATCCAAATTCTTCCTCTGCGCTTCGATCTGCCGCTTTTTCTCCACATACGCATCGTAGGCATTGACCATTTTCAGGCGCACCGTGGCCACCGAGTCCCGAGTTTGATGCTGCGCGCGTGCTGCCACCAGTCGGCGCTCCTTCTCCTTTAACTTCTTGGTCAGCTGTTCCCAGGTCCCGGACGGGATCACATCCTCCCCATTCCAATCCTCCCCCAAAGCATTCCGCGTGTAGAGTCGCACGCCCTTTATCGCTTCCTCTGCTAGTGTTGTCGCCGTTACGAGTCCCTCCTGGAGATCCTTTCCCTCTGCTTGAGCTTTCAGCAGGCCTGCCTGACACTTCTTGACTCGAACATCCGCTTCCTCCAGTTGACCAAGGCATTCGCTGATCAACGCTTGCTCCGCCGCCACTTCCACCTCCAAGGCTTTGCTCCGCTTGGCCTCGTCCGCCTCCCGGTCCACCAAAGGTTTCACATCCTCCTCCAACCGCTGTTTCTCCGCCTTGTCCTGTGATTGTTGGGTTTGTAGGTCCCTCACTTGCTCGTCATAGGCGTCAATCTCCCGTTGTACCGCTTCCAAATCCATGGC